TGGGAAGACAGTTTTGGATGAACCTTCATCAAATTGGTCTTCTCCGAAGCAGTCTGAAACTGAATGGCAAAGAGGTCTCGCCCCTGGAAGGGAAGGGACATGAGCCATTCGCAAGTATAACTGCCTCTATGTTGAGACGGCAGACTCGATTAAATTCACTGGAACTGCCCAAAGGGACTTTTGCAGTCAGTGGAAGGCAGAGTTGAGCAAGTCACTTAAAAATCTTGGCTGTGTAGCCGGTGTTGGGTTCACAGAATCCCAATGCGTGCGCCACGTCTCGTTGTACCAGGTGAAAAGCGTGGTAATCGGGGCATAGTTGTGTCCTCTTGATTTGCCTGACGAAGTGACAGGGAAGAGGAAACATCTTGGGCAGGAGGTTCAGACGGCGAGTCCATGGGAGCGCCGAGAGAACTAAAGGCAATTACAAATGTACTAACACGACTGGAGTGTCCAAAGGTCAAAAAAATGTGCATGGTTTATTAGGGTTCCGGGTGCCGGGGGCCCTGGCACCCGGATTGCTGGATAAGGGGACCGTGGATACAGCCGACGAGGCCGTGCCGGTGGAGTAGCAGCGGGCGCGGTCGCATGGCCAGCCGTATTTTAGGTGTTTCCGAATTACTTTGGGGCCCCATGGATGACATAATTGCAGCACGGGGGAAAACCATATCCATGTAAATTGATCGGGAAAAACTGGACGGCAGCCGAGGAAAAGTTGCATGCCTGTACAGGGCAATACATTTAGCGCTCACCGCATGTACCGGTACCGTTGTGAGACCAGCCCTTGGTCCACCTAAAAACTTAGTCATAATTACATGCTTTCGCTAGAGTCGATGCGAATTCCCCTCAAACACCTTACCCCCACATTCGCTCCACATTGACCCTGAACATTTAGCAAGTGTGGTCCCCTTAAACATACCCGTGTATTCGACACTCAGTGACCCTGCACACCCAGCGAGTGTGACCCGCTAAACCACTTGCCAAGAACCTGTCACATGGCCGGTACACTAAAGGTCAAATTACTTCCCCTTACTCATAGTTTTACTCCATAGAATTGTGTGTAGATTCTCAACTAGTCTGGAGACAAAGTCTTGTACACAAACCTATGTACCGATAAAGTTACCCCTTACCTTTTCCCTGAATTTCCCCGTAATGCACCCACGAGTAATCCTACATCACCCACTAACCATAACTCTCAGACTTTCTTCCACTAGAATATTTTTTTTAAGTCAACCGTAACAGGAGTGTTATCCTCCATACAGGTTTTCTCCATACACTTTATGCACATATATGAATTATTCATAACCACCAGAATCCAATGCTCTCATTGGCTAAGACGCAAAAGTCTATATAAAGCGCTTAGCAATAGTAGATTGGGGTGTAGGTGGTTTGGATAGAGGTAGCACCTTCTGATGTTTGGCAGCTGCACCCTACATGGCAGGGTGGACCGACATCACTGGTCCTCATCCATCCACTAATCTCTCACGTGATGGCTCCAAGCGCCACACCCCGGTAACCGCTTCAGCTGGCGGGCTAAATCACGTGAGGGGGTGGTGTTAACATGGCACCACTGGGCGAAAGACTTCCTCGATGAATTCACCGGCCAGGGCAGAAGAGTTCCTAGAAGAACTTAACGGCTACGTGTTCGTGATCAGGGTGACCCACCTAGTTGGAGGAAGTCGGCTGTGATCAAACCTGGAGAGGGATGGGCGCCACCAGGTTAACTCTGCCCAAGATACACTACATGATGATGAGCAAAATATCAACTACTACACCGGATCGGTCATCGCCGGGTTAACAAGGACCGCGCCTTTCATCGTACACCAGGGTGGAGGTGACAAATATGCTACTGGTGCAACCTCACCAAAGAACATCCGTGGGAGGGATAACATTACATTCGCCACATGGAATGTGAGAACACTTTCTCAGTCGGGGAAACTGCAAGAACTCACGCATGAGCTGGTGAGATACACCTGGCACATTGTGGGTCTCTGCGAAGTCAGATGGAAGAATCTTGGAGAACACCTTACAGAGGAAGGTCATACACTGTACTACAGCGGAGAACCTGATAAACACACCAATGGCGTTGGGTTCCTTGTTAACAAGAACATCAGAAACTCAGTGCTCAGGTGCCGCCCAGTATCCAGTAGACTTATCTCCGTCCGCCTTCGAGCAACACCATTTAACATCACAATTGTACAGGCATATGCACCAACAACAGCCTACGATGATGACCAAGTGGAGGAGTTCTACACCCAACTCCAGGGCATCATCAACAGGGCTGACAAAAAAGACATACTAATCATCCAGGGTGACTGGAACGCCAAGGTTAGAGCCGATGTGCTAAAAGACTGGAAGAAATTCTGTGGCCCCGAGCGAGGATTACGCCTGTTAGAATTTGCCAGTTACAACGACATGGTACTGGCCAACACCCTTGGTGTCCATAAAGCATCACGACGCTGGACCTGGCCTGCTCCAAATGGAATACACCATAGTCAGATCGATTACATCCTGGTGCAAAACCGGTTTCGATCAGGGATCAAGAGAGTCAAAACGCGGTCATTCCCAGGTGCAGATGTAGGTAGTGATCACGACCTGGTGATCATGAACTTTAGAGTACAGCTGAAGAAGATCAATAAGCCAAAGAACATCAGACTGAAGTTCAACTTGGACAGATTGAAGGACCCCACTATCGTGGAATCCTTTCAAGCAATAATTGGCGGAAAATTTGCACCACTGCTAACGCTTGACGAAGGTACTGAAGCAATGACTACCAAGTTTAATGCAGTGATGACAGAAACAGCGGATGAGATCTTAGGTAAACGCCGCCGGAAAAACCAACCCTGGGTGACAGATGAGATCCTAGAGTTGTGTGACAAAAGGAGAGAGCTGAAGAAAAGCAAGAACACAGCATACAAAGTAAAGATCAGGTAAGACATGTACAGTGCTAAAGATGACTGGGTTGCTAAACAGTGCATGGACATCGAAGACAGCCTCAACAAGAACAACAGTAGGCGAGCATTCCGAGTTGTAAAGGATCTCACAAAACAGAGACAGTCAAGAGGCAGCACGATCCAAGACAAAGAAGGTAACTGTCTCACGGAAGAAAAGGACATCATAGATCGATGAACGGAGTATTGTTCAGACCTTTACAACTACCAGCTACATGGAGATCCTAACGTGCTCATAGACCAGGAATCGTCGAACGACGACGACTACCCAATTCTACGTGAGGAGGTTGAATCAGCTATCAAATCATTAAAGAGTAGGAAAGCTGCAGGAGTAGACAACATCCCTGCTGAACTAATAAAACACGGAGGAGATACAGTGACAGACATCCTCACCAAAAGATATGGCAAACTGGAGAGTGGCCAACACCTTGGACACAGTCACTTATCATTATGCTCCCCAAAAAAGGCAACCTACAGCAATGTAAAAATTACAGAACTATCAGCCTAATCAGCCACGCAAGCAAGGTGATGCTGAAGATCATCTTGAACAGGCTAAAACCTCAAGCTGAAGAAATTATCGCCGAAGAACAAGCCGGCTTTCGCAGTGGAAGAAGTACCACAGAACAAATATTCAATGTGCGGGTTCTGTGCGAAAAATACAGTCAACATCAGCAAGATATCTACCGTGTCTTCATTGATTTTAAGAAGGCATTCGACAGGGTATGGCATGACGCACTCTGGGCCACAATGAAGAACTACAACATGGGACAGAAGCTGATCCAAATCATCAGGCAACTGTACGCCAAGGCTAGCAGTGCGGTACTTGTTAAAGGCTCAGTGGGTGAATGGTTCAAAACATCTGTTGGAGTCCGTCAGGGCTGCCTCCTGTCGCCCACATTGTTCAACATTTTCCTAGAGGATCATGCCGGCTCAGTAGGCATTGGAGGGCGGATCATCACAAATCTTCGCTTTGCCGATGTTATTGACGGATTGGCAGGGAAGGAAGAAGAACTCGCCAACCTGGTGAACTGTCTGGATGAAACATCCTCCAGATACGGCATGGAGATTAGTTCAGAAAAAAAACAAACTGATGACAAACAGCACGGAGCCAATCACGAGGAAGATCACAGTCAGAGGCCAAGAGCTAGAGACAGTGAAACAGTTCAAATACCTCGGCGCCATCATCAGTGAGGAGGGATCAAAGACCGAAATCCTCGCAAGAGCTGCACAAACAACAGCAGTAACAGCAAAACTTAGGCCAATCTGGAGAGACAAGAACATCGCTCTCAAATCCAAGCTGAAGCTCCTGCACGCATTGGTCCTCTCAATCTTCCTGTATGCATGTGAGTCATGGACACTAACAGCAGCACTGCAAAAGAAGATCCAAGCAGTGGAAATGAGATGCTTTAGAAGAGTCCTTGGTATCTCTTACACAGACCACATTACAAACGAGGAGGTCCAAAGAACCATCAGACAACATGTCAGCCGGTATGAAGATCTACTGACCACCGTGAAGAAAAGGAAAATGAGGTGGTACGGACATGTTACGAGAGCAAGCGGATTGTCAAAGACCATCCTCCAAGGTACAGTGCAGAGAAGGAGGAGACGGGGCAGACAGAGGAAAAAGTGGACAGACAACATCGCCGAATGGACCAGGGAAAGCTTTGCCACAACACAGGCCCTTGCTCAAGACCGTCAGGGGTGGAACCAATTGATCCAACGCTCATCCATGCAGCACCCCTACGACCCCAGCGGGTTACGGGACCAGTAAGCAGTAAGCAATAGTAGATTGGTCATTATCAAGCTTTCCTCTCAAGTCACAGAGCTCTCAGCATAACAAGCTGGGTTCTCCAGCCACAGGGCTCTTAATACTTAGACATATACATGGTAGGCCATGTTTTGTATAGTGCGCCCTCTGTTGAGATACATATTCCTGAATAAACCACGTAGCAAAGTGTGTGTAAAATGCTTTACCGGTATCTTCATGACTCATATTTTGATAACGACTCCACCAAAGAGAGACGTTACAATATGTTAGAGGTGGAAACGCACCTGATATGAGCACTACAGTAGCTGGAGGACTGTGTGTGTCAGCAAATCGGCGTAAGCTTTGCTTCAGTTTGTCATCTGCCGCATTTTTAGCAGTAGCATTGATGTGTGCCACGGTTACCTGCCAAAAAACATAGATTTAATGAGGCAATATTGTGGCCACCCACCATACACATTATGTATCAAAGATATGATAAGGTATGCATGATTCTAGTTCTTTGCACACTGCATTATATTGGCCTGAAGCGATGCCTGCTGGAATGTCAAGGTCATGTGACCTTTACTTCCGGTGTTACCGGAAGTGTTAATTTAAGACTCTAATTATGATATCTTAAGAATGATTGATTTGGTGGTGTTGATACCTGTAAGTACTTCACAGGAACATTTAGAAAAATTCAAAGATAAACGTGTTACCTAACTAGAACTATTAGACTAAGAGCTGGATAGAATTTAATCAAAATTTTAGGAACAAATCCCCTTATGGTCCTATAGCATAGTATTATCGACCCTGATCGCAGAATGGCCAGTCTTAAGTTTCGCTAAATCAAACCTAGGCTCATTGGCGCCAAGCCAAATGGGGCCAATTTTGCATTTAATCAAACTTTTGAGAACAATGAAACCAGATTCGTTTGATATCTTAACACTTGTAGATAATGGAAATATAATTTAAAAGTGATTTTAGATCAGACTTGATTTATATCAAAACATCAGCAAACCTGTCAAGGAAACTTGGCACGATTTAAAAAGTGCATTGCGACGATATAAGAAACAAGTCAGGTGTGTTTACAAACACAAATGCCCCGCAACCGTGACTGTTTCCATGACATAACACCACTCTAACATCAACTTACATGTACCTTGGTCAAATGGAACGTTCATTGACAGCATTAGTGTCTTCTGTAGGTTTTATATGAATTAATCCCTAATCCCTATGATCTCAGATTAAATACAAGATTTCTATTGTTTTAGCCACTGTGACCTTGACCCTTGACCTTTCGACCCCAATGCGATAGGCTCCTTAGGATTGCCAAGGACAATCCACAAACCAAATTTGAAGTTCATATGTAAAGTATATCTCAAGTTATCACGCTGACAAAATTTCTTTTGTTTTTGCCACTGTGACCTTGACCCTTGACCTTTTGGCCCCAAATGCAAAAGGCTTCTTAGGATTGCCAAGGACAATCCACAAACCAAATTTGAAGTTCATATGTAAAGTATATCTCAAGTTATCGCGCTGACAAAATTTCTATTGTTTCAGCCACTGTGACCTTGACCCTTGACCTTTCGGCCCCAAATGCAAAAGGCTTCTTAGGATTACCAAGGACAATCCACAAACCAAATATGAAGTTCATATGTTAAGTATTTCTCAAGTTATCGTGCTGACAAAATTTCTATTGTTTCAGCCACTGTGACCTTGACCCTTGACCTTTCGGCCCCAAATGCAAAAGGCTTCTTAGGATTACCAAGGACAATCCACAAACCAAATTTGAAGTTCATATGTTAAGTATTTCTCAAGTTATCGCGCTGACAAGATTTGTCCGGACACACACACACACCCACCCACCCACCCACCCACCCACTAACACACCCACCCACCCACCCACCCACCCACGGAAGGACAAGGCGGAAACAGTATGCCCCTTCGGCTTCGCCGCGGGGCATAAAAATGTGCATGGAGGGGTCAGGGGTGTGGTGGCCCCTGCCCCCTCCGCCTTTTTCGCGCCGCAATTAGTCTGACCTCAAATCACTCTGTATTCAAAGTCTACAAGTGCCACTGCATCAATAGAAACTGGTTTCATTTTCAGCAAAAATGGCCAGGCCCTCCTCCACACTTTTTGTGCTGCATTAAGTTACACAGTTTGATCTATAATTGTTCGTAAGTTATATTTCCATTATGTACAAGTGTTAAGCTATCAAACAAAACTGGTTTTGTTCTTGTTCTCAAAAGTTATATTAAATGTGAAATTGGCCTCATTTGGCATGGCGCCAAAAGTATGGTGTGTTTTATTTTAAGGGAAAAAAAAGGATTTTATTATGTTGTGTTTGTATGGTGTGCCTGAAGGGACATAAACAGTTTTGAATTTTAGTTGGCGACATCGTGTAGTTTTTCATTACTAGTTATGAAATTTTCACGCTGTCTAAACTTTTTGCCACAAATAGACGTAACATTTTTAGCGACTACTCATTAAATATTTCTGACATCGTTAATTTTTTTTTTAACTAAACGTTAATTTTTTTTGGAACGTCATGAATTTTTTTGTCGTAAGACATGAATTATTTCTCATTTTTTTTCATGCGAAAAATCGCAAATATTTTCTAGTTGTGAAAAATGTACGATGTCCAAACAAATTAATATCATCTTAAAATAATCCCATGCTAGAAGTAAAAGTTCATAACATTGTAAAAAAAAAAATCAAGACTGAATTTGTGGCACGTGTTGGTGAGAAATCCTTAAAAAAAAATTGAAAAATTTGTAACATCTTCGCACACTGCACTAGTAGTTTGCGTGTCACCGGTATGGTTGTCCAACTGTGGAAAGTTATAACTTTCTCTGAAGCAATTACTCTGCAACTTTCTACTGCACATCTATGTCCTTTCAGTCTATAACATGACATAAAAATGCAATATACAAATGCCGAAACAGCCATATGTTTGCTCACAAACATAAATCTAGTTTTTTCTGTAATAATTTAGTTCTAACAAAATTTGCAAAAATGTGTTACGTCATCATGACGTTATAATTTTAGTGCATGTGGAGTTTTCCATGTTGGACTTCATGAGAAAATAAATGAAGCCATACTTCGCTTCCAATAAGAATCCTATTTTTGGGCCTGACATATTGCTCCATGGATCATTCTATACATTTAGTACTGTTAAAAATTCATTTGTTGGGTAGGTAATTTGCTTAATTACTCTTAGGGGAAAAAGGCATAAAGGAGTGCATCCAGAATTTACAAAACCATGTATAGATACATGTCATATCTAAAAGGCACAGAAAAACGTGGACCCTAAATTTATAGAACGACTCCCGTGGAAGTTATAAAATGTCCCGTAAAATGATCAATACCGGTAGCTACTTAAATTAAGAGGAAAACAGTTGAAGCTAAGGAAGCAGACTGTAAATTTATGAAAGAACATTAAAGTCATGCACATGCAAAGTCATTGAAGGATCCTGGGAAACGACATCTCATAAAGTGCCTCACCTTAAATAAAATGGGGAAAATTAGCAGGGAGGGATACAAGAAAGATAAGCTAAGATCTGCATAGGTTTTGAAAATACATACAAAATCTAGTTACCTGAGCATCATTAAGCTCTTGTATCACTGTTGCATTCTCCTTGTTGATATCACAGACACACATGAATTCTGCCTCTCTGTGGTTACTAAAGAATCTATCTCTCACGCTCTGAACAACAGCCAATGCTGACTTGCCACGAGGTACAGCACAATTCTCAATATCCCAGAAAACACCAATAGGGGCTGGGTTTTCACTGGTACTTTTGTCATCACCTACAAAATGGGTTAAAGAATAAAAAAAGGCTTCAACTTGTACATTTTTTTTTCAAACAAATATATGTTTACTAATATACGTTATTAATATGTTCACAGAAACACATTACAGTTCAATTTCAAATCAGGGTTTTTTTAATTTCAATTCAGTGTTGATTTATTAAGACAACAGCAGTCTAAGAAAGCAAAGTTATATTATTTAGAGGATTCTCAATAATATTTTTTTTCAGAAACAACTTTTTAACCCAAGGTTAAGGCTACTTCATATATACGAAGGAGGTAAATGTAAACATACAGGGTGAGTAAAAAAAAAAAAACGAAACCCAAATGTCGGGACCACTGTTTTAGTGAAGTTCTGCATGTAGCACTTTCAAAATCTAGGATATGAAAGCCCAATTCATAAGCTTTCTTTTAATACAAGAACATTCAAATCACTCATGTACCTTTCAAGTTTTTTAAACACAACCGCCGTTTTAAGGTTCTGTCCACGGATCACAAAAAGTTCAGTGGTCTTTCAGCAAAATGATAACAAAATCACGTAAGGATGTGTGTGAATTGTTTTCGTTTTGCTGAAAGAAGGCACACCTTTTTTGTGATCCGTGGACTGAACTTTAAAACGGTGGTTGTGTTTAAAACTCCGTAACTTGAAAAGTACATGAGTGATTTGAATGATTCTTATATACTAAAAGAAAGCTTATGAATTGGGCTTTCATATCCTAGAATTTGAAAGTGCTACATGCAGAACTGCACTAAAACAATGGTCCTGACATTTGGGTTTCATTTTTTTTTTACTCACCCTGTATATTCATACACAATATGACCATTCCTTGCTCCACTGTTTCAAAACAATTAAGGTTTACTTTCGTATCAGACACAGTTCTATAAAAAGACAATGTACATTGATCATCAGTCATTTCAACGTAAATGTCTTACATCAGCAATTGTAATATTGTGTCTTGGATACTGTAAATTCAATGGTCTAGTATATGGCCATATGTCCACTCTATAAAAATGACTGTTCAAATGGCCAGGTGCCCTGCAGAAGGGCACAAACAAACAATTCACTTAGCAATTAAGTCACATTTTTTAGGTTCTAATGTTCTCCCACGTGTAACATTTGGATGAACTACATGTACATGTAGTGAACTAGTTTTGCTGCTTGGGCACTTGGACTTAGGCCCTTCTGCTGGGAAGAATGTTTGGAAATATGGCACATAAGGACATACATGTAAGCATATGTTTGCATGAGAGAGTGGCAAACTTAAATGTTTGGGACAACGCATTTACCCATTAGCCCAATGGATGCTATTTCTTTGAGTTGATGGGATTTATGCAATGTTTCTTTATCTGTCATAAAGTTCACAATTAGTTTTAAAAAAAATCAAAACAGACATTTTACAATGAACAAAACATTTGGAAAAGGCCAGGGATGTAGTCTAGCCACAAGTAAATCACAAGTCACAAGAAACATTGGATGAACAATAACAAAGGATTTTTTTATAGCTTGTGATTTGCATTTCTTGTTACTTTTTATGAAGGAATGATGAATCATATGGCAAAATCAATGTGGCCTCCACTGTTTAGTCCAGCGGATATCATATGTTGAAATACTACTGAATTGTGATTTTTTTTTTCATAAAAGCACCACATTTTGTACAGAGGTAAAATGCTATATATTTTTTGCTGTTTTGTACCATCTAAATTTCAATACATTTCCCACTTTTTGTTTAAGGCCCATATTTAATCAACACTATGTTCTCAAACTTACATTGAAGAATTTACTTTCCTGATTTATTTATTCATTCTTTGTACATGTATGTATCTCTTCTTCCATGTGTTGTTATTTCAAGTCTTGTCCTGTCCCTGGGAAAGCTGCACATTTTTCCTTCATATTGACATGCATCATTTAATGTTTACATTTAATTCTTGTGCTTTGTACACTTAATTATATCTTCTTGTATATGAACTGTCTTTGAGGATGTCAATGTGAAAAGAAATGGCAAATTGGATTGAACTTTTATAGTTTCACATTTTATGTGCTTCTGTGCTCTGCAGTGTATCAAAGCAAGAGCCAGACTACTCAATTCAGCTGTGAAATGATAATCTGCACTTAGTAAAAATGTTTCACTACTTAAATTACAAAATTTCAATTTTGGAGGATTACTGCATGGGTCAATTGCATGGACTTTGATAATTTGGCAACCGTCCCTGACTTTACAATCCATACAGGACATATTAATTCACTGCACGGTGGTCAAACTGTTCATGCCGTCATGCAATGAGTCGCCCTGTACTGCATGAATTTAAAGTTGGCCCGCATACACAACGTGTCTACAACTCCGCAACTGCATGTCATGCAACGGAACGATTAAGAATTAAGCATTGGACTCACATTTGCTCCTATCAGCATTGCCATCGTAGAAAGAGCTCATTGCTACGCTATCTTCAAGTATCTGTTGAGATGAGTTTGCAGGGCTGTTCTGCATCATTGTCGTTCTTGCTGGACTTCCATGGCTTGCTCCGAGACTACTTGTATTGAGACGTACAGGACTGTCGTGTAGTTGACTTCGATGCAGCAACATGGCAGCATGCTCTAAGGAACACATATTTATGTTGGGAGTATGGTATCTGCTGCAAGGACTTTTATGCTGTAACCGAGGTGGGCTGACAATTGGTGAGCAGGCCGAGTGCTGCGGGCTGTTGCATGCTTGGCCACCATGTGAGACACACTGTACATTCATGCTTGAAGAAGGATGACAAACATTTCCAAGGGCATGACATGTTTGTTCAATGGAAGACAGGTGTGTTGGGCAATGGCTGCAAGGTATGGTTGACATTTCAGGCTTGTGTTGCAACATGGCTAGAAAAGACTTGGCACCGGGAGAAATAGGAATTTGGTGTTGATTTTGACATGGAATTGAATGAAAATCCCCTGGTGGCTGAAGCAAACAAGATGGCTGTGATGTTTCTTGTTGGATCATAGTCATTAGTTCATTAGTCATGTCTTGCATGCCAGGTGTGCATGGGCAGTCACTATAAGCATACTGTGACTGATGAACTGGGCTACTATGAAATGGATAACAACTATTAGAAGGTGCCTGGAATGACAGATGACAAGGACTATTATGCAAATGTGGATTTTTTCTGTCTACATTCTGGTTTTGTGGCTGACCACTATGCTGCTGCAACCAATGAAGAACATACGCATTATGAGTAATGCCTGGACACAAACCATGCACCCCAGAACTGGATGAAAGACATGGTTGATTGTCTTGCATTTCTCCAGCTTCCTGCTGGATATTACATGCCACTCCCGGAGTCTCTTTTTCAAGGTCTAAATTTGAAGTACATGTATTTACTTTTTTAAGATTTGATTTGTCTACTTTTCTGTTCACATTATCTGCATCCAAGTTGCTATAGGAACTGAATTGGCCAGTTGAGTTTTGTTCACAGCAAGGCATAGAGTCTGCTTTGGCCTTCCTGATAAACTGCATGGTAGCGCGATCATGAGCTCGGGCCTTTCCTCTTGTCTTCTTTCTCTTTACAGGTGAAACTTCTCCGTTGTTTTTAGTCACTTCAGTTACATCATAGTGTATTTTACTACGTGCAGCATTGCCTTTACCCTCATCCTGCCTCTTATGCTGGTCAATTTCAATGGAATCTTTTTTCTTATCATCTTTAGAATTTGTAGCCAGTGGTGATGAAAGAGATACCAGGCATGTGGAGCCATAAGAAGGCCTTTCCAGTTGACCAGTCAGATTCAAATTGTGACTGTAATTTCCCAGGCTGCGAGTTGGGCTGTAACTCTTCGAGCGTACTCTTAACTTTGTTTTTTTCTTGGATGTCTGTTCTTCTGTTCTCCTGGTGTACATTTGGCACCAAAATTCTGGATCTTCTGGTTTTATATCCTGCATGACTTTTCGTTCACCTGTGGAGAAAGGCAGAGCTATATGATAATTTTCAAAGAGAACTTGTAAAAAACAAATGCATGCTGTTCCATGTTTACAAGACCACAAAACAAATAAAAGTATTGAACTTAATTGATGAGTTATACATGAGGCAACATAAAAAGAGGTGTTTCACAGTTTTGTTCACTTGTCGCAACAATGATTCTTTTCCCCATCAAGCACACCCTGCACAGCAGGGCAAATCATTCCTCTGCAGTGTGCAGTTCGAGTCAGTTACATGCACGCACCTGCTGAAGATGTGTATTGAACAGTTGCATTTTAAAGTGTGTAGCAAAGAAGAAATCAATAACAATCATTATTTATGGAACACATATATCATTCTAAACAGCAGAATACAAATGAAGAACGAAAAAACACACGCTCTCCATTGGAACTTGTTGGCAAATGAAAAGGTCATTTGTAACTAAACCTTTGCTAACTGATACTCCCGAGTCCTGATACATTGTCAGGGCCAAGTTGGATGTCTGAGTTGATTCAAAGACAAGGATTTCACCAATTGACTCTCTACAAAACATACTCCAGAACTGATCATCAGAGCAAAACATTTCTTTGATGCAAGCATTAGCATTTGTGCAGTGCAGTGCCGTGGCCTCATGGTCTGGAGCATTGAATTTGTTGTCTGCGAGTAAATCTGCAGGTTGTGGGTTCGAGTCCAGCCTTGGGTTATGGTGCGTGTGCCCTTGGGCAAGGCCCTTTGTCACTCATTGCTTCTCCCCACCCAGGAGTAGATGGGTACCTGTGAATGCAGAGATGGTTATTTTGGTTTATTTAAGCTGCTTTGAGCCGAAATGGCAGCATGAGATTGTCTTTGGAAAGTTTCATTGGCCCAATGAGCAGGGTAATAGTGTAGCACCAACACTGGTGGATATGTGCGCTTAATCACACATTATTATTAATGTTAATTTCAGCTACTTAACAATAAAACAGTTGTTTCCCTTTCAGAACGTGTAAGAAACTGCATCCAAACGTTTGGGGTAACAAAACTGAAATGAAAGTACATCAACTACATCAATCCATACAGCAAGGTTCCTTGCTCTATGATCATTCACACCAGCTCAGTGTCGTGTCTTTTTTTTTTCTTTCTTCATTTTCATTCTGCTGTTTCGACCACTAGATGTGTTCCATGAATAATGATCATTATTGTTTTCTTCTTTGTTACACACTTTCAGCAGTCAACATAGATTGTGCAAACTGTGCATGTCTCTTTGTTGGTGTTAAGCTAGGGAATAAGTAAGTTGAAATTGTCAACACACACGCATTGAAGCTTAACAGAATGTTCAGCCATTTAGCTACATGTATGTATCGACCATGCGCACTAACTAAAAGTATAGTTTAGGAGTTAAGACACATCTATTCTTTAGCAAGTCCATTCACAATCTTCTCATTCACAATGAATTGAGGGGACGTCAAATAAACTTAAAAGAAGACGCAACAAACATGAAAACTACTTAATATTAAGCACCAGTCAGCTGTTTTTTTTTATGACCTAGGGTTTGTGTCAGTCCGAGTAACTAGGACTCTACAAATCGCCTTTTTTTACATTTGGACATGGTCGGGCTCCAAATGTTAAAATACCCTCGGTTCAGACAGGCGTGCTAGAGTCGCGCCGATCCAAATTAAAGTCAAGATTTAAATTAAGAACATGAAAGGTTCAACGTCTGAAACAAATGGGAGCAACTAGACGTGCCAGATGGCGAAAGATCGACGGTCAGAGTCGTTCAGAACGACTCAGGAGCGACTTGGTTTCAGACGTCGCTCAAGTCATGAGCCAACCTCAATGCAAATGTATGTAAATGTATGTAAATAAGTAGTGTTTAGGCGATGTGTTTAACGCGCGACGCAGTGCTTATAATTTAAAAGTTTTCTTTTTGCAGATATTTTATCCTTTCAAACACGAGATTTCGATGTCTTACAATAAATGTACGTCCCACTGCCGCCCCAATACAACACAAGATACATTTTTAAAGTGAAAAAACTTCCAGTATCCATGTTGTACAGGCACGGTGCAGTCTTGAAATACAAATTGCTCGTACGTGGCGTGACGTGCAAGAGATAACGCGAACGCACATGGCGTACGTGCTAGCAGCCTGTCTTCTTCGATACGCGCGCACTTCGTGCAGTACATTCTCAATCAGCGTCGATGCGTCGATTATGTATTACACGGCCTGGCGTTTGCGTAGTGAAGAAATGCGCACGCAGCCCATGCATCGACGCTGCACAATGCCGGCTTGTTGCTAAGATCCCGTGTTTGTTGGTTTGTACACAGTACTCCAATGTATTGAGTTCGCCTGTCTGAAACCAAAATTCTATTAAGGTTGACCTGGAGTCCCTCCTAATCTATTTGGTTCGGCGCGACTCTGGAACGCCGGTCTGAACCGGGGGTAAGGCGATTCGTCAAGTCCTTACTCAGACTAGGGTTTGTGTCTAGAACTTAGAAAGGGTAATGAACCACACAGTGGGACCGTGCCTGTGGATTTTGTGAGATAGTTGTCTGGAAAATACACTTTTTTTAGGAAAAAACATAAAATATGAAACATTTTTTTTTAAATGGGGTGGGAGTGAAAATCAAGGCGGGCGGTGGTGAAAACATTAAAATCAATGTTGATTGGCCTAAAGGAAGACAGTTTTATGGGAAATAAAGTCTGATAACCATTTGGTCATGTCGGTTGATAGTTTGGTTTCATGAATTTAAGATCCAGATGTTGAAATTTGCTAACGACGGTAGATCAGGGGGGAAAATGTTGCAACCTGATGCCACTTTTTTCTTTGAAAATATATCATCTCAATGAAGGTCAGTCATTGCAAAAATGATGATAAGACATGAATCTGGGACTGAGAAACATTTCCAATTTTGTTAGGAAATACGTAGAAAATTTTCTTGACTCTCCATAGGCTTTGTACACAACAGCTGAAGTGGCTTCAGGTTGCAACATTTTTTCCGATCAGGGTAGGACTACATCTAGAATTATAACTTTTAAGGCACACAGGTGCCTTCTACTGTTCTACATGTATTAGGATACTAGAATTTAGGGCCTATGCACTAAGGCAGTAATATTATTAAGATCAGAGAACCTACTTTAGTACTCAGCCATGTCAGGACCCTACAAATCGCCTACTTTAACATTTGCGATAGTACTCCTAGGGCCCATGGATCATAAAGTACATGGCGCTACACCAATATTAAACCGTTTTTGACCATTTTCACTCATAGTCATACCCCTTGTAATTAAAAATCTTCAGATTTCACCCCCAAAACAGTCCTCAAACTGCCTGATGCGCCCCTGTAGGCTTCAGTGGGAATTGAAAATGCAAATGGTGGTGGTTAAGTTCACATACCTCAGGAAAGAAAAGAGAAATTTCACCTTCGATTGGGAAATGTTCCTCGGTGTACTGGAGGCTGCCATCTTGAATTCAAGATGGCGGCCTCCGGGCTTGACCGATGACAGGAAAACGGGGATCGGAAAACAGAAAACAACACTACCTCAGTTGCACTCAAATTAGCCCCATGATATGATGATAAGAATGTGGCCTACCTCCATAAATGCAGGCCACACTTGGCATGCTTGGAACATGTACAAAAACATGTAGGCCCTAGAACTTTGTCAAATTTTGATTTTCACATTTAGGCTTAGTTTGTAGTTTATTTTTGCTTTAGAAGCATACTCACCCTCTTTATAGGCTAATCAGAAAGTGCTGCCTTTTTCAGATGTCTATTTTTCGTGAAATTTCCAGATTCATTTGCACATGTCACGTTTGCGTATCAAAATTTCAACATGAAATTTCATGAAAAACATACAGACATCTAAAAAAGGCAGCACTTTCTGATTAGCCTATAGTATAAGAGGGTGAGTATGCTTAAAGCAAAAATAAACTACAAACTAAGCCTAAATGTGAAAATTTGACAAAGTTCTACATGTTTTTGTAAATGGTCCAAGCATGGAGGAAGGAACAGATATGTGTGGCCTAGGGCCTATGCCTTTATCTCAGAATCTCAGAAAGTTGACTGTGTTGTGCGCTTTCTTGAAAATCATGCATTCTTAAGAATGCGCATGCACATTCTTATGATTGTGCAACTGGATCCTTGCGCAATCTTTGCAAAAAATAACTCTTCCAGATTGAGTGCACATTCTTAAGAATGCGCGACAAGATAACGGTCTTGTCGATACCGAGCACCTGCTGCGCTTGGCAAGTCTAGCTGCATCCTCGTTCACTGATTCTCAATAATTATACTGTTGCAACGCAAGGCGCTGAAAAGTAGAGTGGATATGAAAAGTATACGCGTATTGGGGGGGGGGGGGAACCGGAAAAAAAGAAGAGACATAATAATATGTATTGGAAAGAATTCTGATTTTTGGGATAATAAAATGGGGGGGGGGGGGACGTAAGAATGAAGAATGTGAAGAATGAGAATGAATACTGTGACATCCCATAGTGCCAATGCTATTTCCCATTTAAATTGCCACCAATTTATTGTTCACACCCCCACCGTTACGCCACAGAGCTGGATTCTATCTAGTCAAACGAGCAATTTTGGCAGCTTCTGGACATCGTTTTTTTTTTCGTGGCATGCATATGATACATACAGGGACTTGTAACTTGTCTAGCCTAAACAAAGCACTTCCCAGACTAGTTCCCCAGTCCTCCGTTATTACAAAACTTCCCATAGTGGGCAGAAAAAAAGCAATAATAACTAATTTAATTTAATTATGTCGTGCAATGTTTGTTAAGATTGCGCAAAATTCATAAATTGTGCACGTGATATTCCCACGCAATCTTAAGAATGAGCGCTCATGCTTAAGAACGCGTGCTCATTCTTAAGAATGCGCGTGCATTCTTAAGATTGCGTGATTTTCAAGAAAACGCACAACAACTGGATATCGCCGCTAGGGGGGCTAAGCATCATCATCCAGGGCCAAGTTCGGGCAAGGACCATGGCATTAGTCGACTAGTGGTTGATTTGTGACGTACCTTACGCCTGCGCACTGATAGCAACCTGCGAACGTCTCTAGTCAAACGCTGGTCAAAATGTCATCGCAAAACTTCTGGATCCTGGCTCTCTGCTAGTCCGAGTAACTTGGACCCAACTTATCGCCTTTTTTAACATTTGGACATGGTCTGGCGGCTATCGCCAGACCATGTCCAAATGTTAAAAAAGGCGATAAGTTGGGACCAAGATACTCGGACTAGCTCTCTGCTAGCGTTATGAATGCGCGAAGCAACCAAGCCCAGTAGGCTGGTTCCAAATAGTCGACTAGCATAGTCAACCACCGTCGACTAGACAGAATTCGGGCAAACGTTAGTTAACCATTGGTCAACTATAGTCTAGTATAGTCCGTGCGCGAACTTGGCCCAGTTTGACTTCACGCCAGTGCCGTGCAAGCGGGGGTAGTCCAGTAAATTGGCCACATTTATGGGGCTACACTCAAATGTACCTTCAGTTTGGTTAAAAACAATGGAGCAATTATACAAACAGTGACAAACAGGACGTCCATGAATGTCACTGCCAACAGTAACCTTACGGAGCTATACCGTCTGCAC